GTTTGGACAAAAAACACGTACTACGTTACGATGATGGATACTATTTCCGCCACCCCCCCTCCTCCTTCAACGCCTCGGGTCCCTGGGCTTTGCTCACTTCATTTTCCTTCTTCCCCCCTCCCCCCACCCCCAGCCAGATCCCACGACGCTTCATCCCAGCTGAAAAAAACGCACTATCGCTGCAGACATGTTGCATGTTTTTTTACATCTAGGTACTTGGATCTGCAGCAGTGACATTGGCGCGGGCCCACAAGTAGAGTAGTTAAACTTCGCCGGAGTAGTAAAGTATTTGCTATGTATGTAGATATGCAGGGGTGTTTTGCTTCTTTTGTAGAAGATGTTGTTTTCATTTTGGAGGACTGAGGTATTGGTATGCTGGATACGCCATGGGTATTGTGTTGGTATGAACACGTGTATACGTATGCTAGGTTTAGGGAATGCGAGAGCGAGGACGGAGAAGGGAAGAAGAAAGGAGGGAGGGTTTGTTTGTGGTGAGGCTGGATGCGCCTAGTGGAATGAAGTGGGTGTAGTGTGTGGAAGTGTATCTGGATGGGTGGGGAGCAGTGTTTCGAGGTGGAGTCTCGATCTCAAGGCTGTTTGGGAAAGATGTTTTGTGCGGGTGTAGGGGTTAGGTGTGGATATGTAGGTGGGTAATACTAGTGGGGTGATGTTTTGAGTTACGATAGGAGAATCGTGTGAGATTGAGTGGTTGCGCACGGTACCTACTGAGCACCCATGTGCCTAGTATCTGATTGTCCAATATCGATGTCTGATCGTATTGCAGTCAGTGATCTTGCATACTTTAGGCAATCTGGTCAGCAACGCAAAAGGTAATGCAGTCAGCCTGATTTTCCTTCAATCAAAAGACGACGAGGTCGAAATTTTGGTTTTGCCCCTTTTTGAATTTTTATCCCATTTCGATTTACCGATTGGATACGGACAGGTATTTCAAATGACAGTCTTGGTCTGAGTCAGCAATGGCCTTATGCTAAGCGTGAGATGGACTCGGCATAGAGTGCCGTGTAACCTTATTCGCAAATATAGATAGTTATCGTAGTACAAAATATTTCTTGACGTGTATCCGTGCTTGTGCTACATAAAATTTTTACCATCACACATCCAAGATACAGGTGTAACAATGAATACATAGAATTGCTGCTACCAATACACGGTATGTCAGGATACACAGAGCGCTTCGATTACCTCGTGTTTGCGGTCTTGGCTTGTAGTGCACTGTTTTTTTGGCTAGACGATCAGGACTGAACGGGAAGGTGATGTATCGGGATGAGTTTTTACAGAGAAGAGCTACATGCAAGCTGTGCTTTTCTGGGGCTGCATAGGTGAGGGTGTATGATGTACGAGGTGAGTTTTGCAAAGAGCAAATAGTGATGGTAACCCGCTGCGAAGTGATGTATGGATGAAGTAGTTGAACCTGATGTGATATTGCTGTGCCAAAAAAAAAGGCATAAGAATACCAACTTGGTTTTTTTCAGAGAACAATCTGCGAATAGAGACAATAAGGTGAAGTGATGTTTCAAGCTGCGAGAATGATTCATTTTGATAAAATCTTTTGTATTGACGGATACGAGTTATCTGAAGTGACGAGAGATACAGTTCCTTTGGCTCTAAAGTCAATGCAGTAGTCAATCAAGGAGAAATATAGAAAGCCTCTTCGGCACTGAAACTCGAAAACTCCTTTCTGTGTCTCGGAAGTCGAAAAGATATTATTTTTGATGCAAAACTTAGTAGGCATGATTCCAGAAGTGCGTGGTTATCCAGCAAGAAAAGACTTTTAAGAAAGCCTGTTTGGCACTAACATTTGAAAATCCCTATCATAGCATCAGGAGTGAAAGATAGAATTCTCACCGAATCAGAACATAAAGAGGATTCTTAGGTTGTAATCATTGATTAGAGAGCACGAAGGGAGCGAAAAGGATACATATGTGCGTCTGAGCTACCCTCATAATAAGACTGCGTCATTTTTTCAATAAGTCAGGAATTTGAGGGCGCATGGAGCGCTACATACAAGTACGGACGTATGGCCTTTAGACAATAGCAATCTCTGTGTGCAAAATATGCTACGCCGTATTGCAAAGAGATTGGGAGTGGACTTGGCAGAAGAGACAGTTCTCTGAAGTCATGAAAGACATGGGACAAGTTTTTGTGAGCCATATTGGAGAGATAGGGTCGGTTCTATGAGTAGGGAATGATGAGGCATGTGGTTGGTGAGCATGATGGTAGATGACAAACTCTCCGGTTAGAAACAGGACTGATGAAAAGAAGAAATTTCATCAGAGATACGATGAAAGCAGACTCTTCCGTAGTATTTTTTCTCTCACGTACAATCATAGACACGCCATGTCGACCTCACTGTTTGATTGGCATGTGAGACCCACTAATCCATTCGACTGTTGCACTTATGCAGAATACTCTTCACACCCACTTCCATGTCAATTCCCAAATACTCTGAAATCTCATTTTGATTGATCGTTCTGTGTGGTAGAGGTATATACAATCCCACAGCAACGGAACCCGAAGCAACCGGTACGCCTGAATATGTAAGTCTTATGCGTGGTCATCGTGATGTCCCTTGTCTTGGAAGAATAGCTGCTCAGCAACAACATATCCGGCAAAGGCAACAGTCGCTATGCCGAGGCCTGGGAAGGAGCCCTTGAAACGGTTGAAGCGGGTGAAGGGACCGGTGTATCGCCATTGTTCACTAGCTGTGGCATAAGTATTCGACGCAGTATATGTATGAGGCGGGCATCCATGACATACTATCGCGCCCAGGGGTCGCCCTTTGTGCCGTTGGCAGAGGCGGCGGCGAACTTCTTAGGGTCGAAACCGGTGATGGAGGGGCGTGGTGCCATTATGAAGATGCTGCTGCAGTCAGGATTTCTGAGTTCTGATACGCCAATTGAGGCCGCGCGAAGCAAGTAAACGTACTGAATGGGCCGCAAGAGATGGTCGACAAGGGAAAAGGCGGTCGCGGTCGCGGAGGCTGTTGGCGTCACGTCCGCGAAGCCGTTGGTGGTCGCATCTGGCTCAGTCTTGGCGGCCATCATGGCGCACGGCCGCCGCCCATGGGTTACGGGCATCCTCCCCACACCATCCATTAACTCTCACCACGCACTATCGCTACCACACGCACCTTGCACACCCTACAAACGCCCTAATTGCTACAAATCTTCTCAAGAGCCTGGGAAAGACACCCCGACCACCGCTCGTTCGCGTCATTATCCCCAGTGTCGCCCACTCGCCGTTTCACTACTCCTCCACTTGTACTCTCGCGCCCGTCGCAGCAACAGCTACACTTTGCCCACGATGCCACCTCATGGGGGCCGGTTTCCCGGCCATAACCTCTCCAACCCATTCGCACATCTCTCTGGCCCAATGCCCCAGCAGCAACAGCCACTGCACCAACATCAGCAGCAACAGCAACAGCAGCAACAGCAGCAACAGAATATGCAGCATTTTGGCGCGGGCAACCAGGCCACCAGTCTGAATCTCTTCGGCCAACACCAGGGCGGATTTCAGGCGAATGCTGGCCTAGGCGGCGGCTTGGGAGGCGCGGGTCTGGGGGCAGCAGCAGCCATTGGCGGGGCAGGTGGAGGCACCGGACTGGACGGACATGAGGCGCGCATGCGGTTTGCCCATGGCGCTCAAATACAGGAGAATGCAGCCCGTGGACACGACGGTACCAAGGGCATTGCCGGCCAGCGCATACGCCAGGTCTGGCGGTCCAACCTGCATCAGGAGATGGACATGTTACGCACCCTCATTGACCAGTATCCATACATTAGCATGGTCAGTATGCTATTTCATTGCAATGCCCCGCGACTACTGTGCTATCAGAGTCGCGTCTAATATTTTTCAAGTCTTGTACCAGTGGTGATTCCATGGCTTCATTCCTTGGGGTAGTTTCTATTCTACTCCTTTCTCCTAAGTCTGTACACACAATGCTCACTCTACAAACAGGACACTGAGTTTCCCGGTGTTGTTGCGCGACCTATCGGAGACTTCAACTCGAAAGCGTCATACCACTACCAGACCGTTCGCTGTAATGTCGACCTGCTCAAGATCATTCAACTGGGCGTCACCCTCTTCAACGTTCAAGGCGACGTTCCCCCAACACATCTCGACACGAATACTCTGACCTACAAGCCCAAGTCGTTTCAAAGATATTCAAATAACATTATTCCCTGCCCTTGCACATGGTCCTTCAACTTCCAGTTCTCCCTCGGAGACGACATGTACAACGAAGAGTCGATCCAGATGCTGAAGAAGTCTGGAGCTGATTTCGAAAAGCACCGCGACCAGGGCATTGACCCGCAAGAGTTTGGCTCGCTACTCACAACGTCTGGAATGACCCTGTCAGAGGACGTCAACTGGATATCATTTCACTCTGGCTATGATTTTGCATACATGCTCAAGATGCTTACGTCAAAGCCACTACCCGAAGATGAGGACACGTATCGCAAGCTTGTCAATGTTTTCTTCCCCAAACTTCTCGATGTCAAGTATCTCTGGCGACATGCAAATAACCTGGTTAGGCGCGGTGTCATTGGCGCCACAGCAACCAACATACTCAACAATCTGGGCACGAAGTCTGGCCTCCAAGATCTTGCTGATGAGCTCGGCTGCCAGCGCATTGGTAACTCACATACCGCTGGTTCAGATGCTTGGTTGACGGGAGTTGTATTCTGGGAAATGAGGAAGAAGATTTTTGATGGATCCGTTCCCGACGAAATGAGTGGTCACATGTGGGGTCTTACCGGCGTTGGAGCCCCAGCCAGCGCAGCTGCTCAAGCTGCTGTGCTTGCTGCGCAGGGTGCATCACAGGGCTTGTCTGGCTTCCAGCAAGGCGTTAACAACACGTTCTACCCTGGAAACGCACGACATGGTGTCGATGGACCTAGTACGCCTACCAATCACCCCGCCGGCCTTGCATCCAACACACCAGGACCAACTGGTATGATGACTCCTGGAGCTTACAGCGGATATGGCAACAAATAGAATGGTAGCCGAGGTGGCAGGAGCAGAGGCAGAGGTAGGGGGAATGACGGTCACGGATATGGTCATGGATATGACCCTTCGTATGGCCTTGGGTATGGCCCTGGTCCTGGCTCTGGCTATGGCTATGGCCATTATGGTTACCATGGTTAGTGGTCTCCTTATCAGCCCTGGGGTTGGCAGTAATTTGCCTAGACGACATGTCTGTTATCCACGATACTATGACGAGTCGGCCCCTGGGGTACCCAGTGTTATTGTATCTTTCTTTCCCTTTGTCAAAGTGGGCGGTTGGTATAAAAAAAGGGTGGGTCTTCAAGGTCCATTCCATGACCTTTGGCTGGGGGCATGTACGATACCCGGAGTAGTAGTTATTGTGTACTTGTACATTCGGAGTTTTCAGTTTTGTTTTTCTCGTTGTGGGGTTGTTGTTCATTTCTGGCATAACAATGAGAGTACCTATTTCATGTCTGAGTCTTCATTTTTATTTAGATAAGAGAGTGAGGAATTGATATGTGGGAGTCGAATTTGAGTATCCGAGGTGTGTCTATGTCTGCACGTGAACGTACCTAATATGCCGTTATCCAATATGCACTCAGTGGCAGAAGAGGATACACAATTTTGTACGTTTTAACCATTTAGCAATCCTACAAGCTCCCTTTCCAATCCAAATCCCTCCTTTCGTCCGTACAATCTCCCATCCTAGCAGCGTTATATTAACACTAGAGATAAATACGCTACTTTTATGATAAGCTTTGATGTTCTTTACGGCCCATCCAATGGCACCTGAAATTCAATTCTGGGAAAACAAACACGACGACGGTAGTAATTTCCACTATTCACTTTTCTCTCCTCTCATGTGCCGCATGCTCCCCAGCCCTTTTCCCAGAAAATACACAATCAGCCAGGGACAACCCACTAACATACGAATTCGAACAAATCCCAACAGCCGTCCTACCCGCAGCACAGAGCCCATCAATCTTCTTCTCACTAGCCAAAACCAGTCCCGTCCTACCATCAGCACACAAACCACCCAGCGTCAACCCCATAACAACCTGTATCCCACCAGCCTCCGGCGAAATATCAATCCCATGAAACGGCGGTGTCAAAATCCGACTCCGGCACTCATCTGTCTTATGCATCGGATCCTCAGTTCCCTTCTCAATCGCAGCATTATACTCCCTAACCGTCTCTTCCAACCCCCGCAGCGACCCGGCTTTCTTGTACCCCCAGTATATCGAATGAAAGCGCTGGAACAAAACCGGACCAGAAGCCTGCTCGAAAAGCTGCTGTTTCGCTTTCACCCGTTGAGTCTGATCCAAGATGCGAAACCCCGTGCTGGCATGCCACCGAATCATGACCTCACTGAGTGCAGCGCCGCAGGCGTCTTTGGCGAGTATTCGGCGGCCGGAAGTGGATACGGCGATGCCTTCGAGGAGCGCGGCGGGCGGGTAGATGAAGCGCCAGGCGGACATGCGGTCGAGCTTTGCGACTGAGGCTCCTGCAGAGGTGCCGAGCGCGATGCCGGAGCCGTTGTCGCGCCAGATGCCTAGCGGTGCGACGCGCGAGAATTCTGGGACATGGGTTTGGCGCATGTGTTTGTTGAAGGAGAAGCTGCCTGCAGCGAGGATGACGGGTGGTGAGTGGATAGTTTGGAGGTTGGCGTCGCGATTCCAGATGTTGAGGGCGCGGTTGTGGTACCATTTTGATAGTGGGCGTAGTGATAGTTGGTATCGTTTCTCTTCTCTGCATAGCTTTTTTATGACGGGCGAAGCTGGGGCTGGATATTAGGAGGGGTTTGATTTCTACTCCATCGATTCTTTGGTTCTTGTCATAAAGTAAACGGGTTACCTTGCTTGCGGGCATAAAGTCTACCCCTAGACTCATGGCTATTTTGAATAAAACACGCTATAATTCGGATCCAGAAAGCCCAGGGTGAACCATTCGGTATCCTCGAGCTACGGGCTCTGCGATCTTGTGAGGATACGACTTTTCATTGCCCAAGAAAAACAGATAGTGCCTATCTGTTGGGTAAGACGTCTTGTACAGGCAAAACGATGCCTCAAAACGAGCACCATGTTTCTCGAGCCGCTGCAGATTCTGGGCACTTGTTTTGCAGAAGCGTCGTAATGTTTCTTCGTCAACTGCGTCCTGTGTCTCTTCCTTCAGATAAGCAAACATGTTCTCAGGCGTGTCGTATCCGTAGCCTGCTGCTTTTTGCTGCAAAGTTCCTCCGCCTGCATATACAACACCGCCTGATAGGGCTGAGGTATCACCGCCATGGCTGGCATCGACGAGAATTATTGAGGCACCTTTTTCTGCTGCTGCGATGCTGGCGTAGCCGGTGTCTACGCCAAGGCCCATGACGACAACGTCTGCCTCACGTGTCTTTGCGTTACTTGAAAACGAAGATACGAGAGATCGTGGTTTGATGTTAGAAAGAAAAAACAAAGTATTTGAAATGGTTGGCTGAACTGTCCGTATGGGAAGTCGAAATATGATGAAGTATGTGTAATCGCGTACTGCACGTGGTGCAAACAGACTAGGATTGAGTGAGAGGATCGAGATAAATTGACAGTTACTGCTTCATTCTTGTACGTAGTCGCAAGTCGAATGCTGGTGCGGAGAAGCAGAAGGGCCGATCTTACAGACCCCGTAAGTGTATTGTCTTCGGTTCGTCCCGGCGTAAGACGATGGTTGGATACGCTATACGGCTGAGTGGATAAAAGCAGGCATCCCTGTAAACCATGAGCTATCAGCTAATCAGCCATTGTTTGCACATCCAAAGTCTCATCCGTCCAGTGATGAGTTGGTGATTGAGTCGCAAAACTATGGTGCAGGTACTAGGACAATGTTATTCATTATTTTGTGTCTACCTCCCAAGCGCCCTGCGCACTCGGATATTCGTGACCTTGACCTGGTTTGACTTATGTAACTCCAAGTCAATTGGTCAATAATAGAGATAACAAAATAACAGTACTTAATCACCTAGCTACGTGATCCACATAGCTCAGTCATTGCGCGTTTCTCGGAAGTGACATGTTCTATTAGGTAGTCGGAGTCACGCTCTAGTCATACCCAACCCATGTTGACAAAGGCAATGTCGACACATGGATGTTGCCGAAAAGTAAAAAAAATGAATAACATTGCCGATGCTGACGTGCAAATAAAACGTCGCATAGGAATGACAGTACTGGAATGGACGAACATACATGCTCTTCTACATGTTGAACCTCGTCCTTTGCTTGTCCATACGGCCTTTCCATTGCCATTCCTGGCCACTCTTGAACTGAATGCCGCGGTCTATTCTGCGGAGCTTGAGCGTCATTCGGGGACTGGTAGTGTAACGTTAGCGACTGTTCCACAGAAGAAGAAAAAACATGACATACCCAATTTCTTGCATGCCCACTTTGACGTCCTCAGCGCCAGGGATTGGTTTTCCATCCGTGCCCAAAACAGGCTTCTCTGTCTCGCGCTTATCACGGAACACATAGCGGTGGCGGCGTACGAAGATGTAATCGCGCTGGTTATGGAGAGTAAGAACTTGGCGGCCTTCTAGTTCGGGGAAGGGAGGGAAGAGGTTCTTGAAAAGCTGGGCGGTAAGAACACCGAGCGGAGTCTTGAAGTGATTAAGAATGAGCTCTGGATAGTGGCCTGTGTCGTTTGCGTGACGGGGCAGTTTCTTGCCGTCAACCCAGTTGGAGACACTGAAGTGGAAGTGGGGACCGTTGGGGAGGTTGACAATGTCGAGGCCGTCGGGTTTCTTTTCGTGCTGGGCTTGCATGAGAATGACGAGGGCGGTGTAGCCTCTTGCGGCCGCGAAGCCGGCGATTTCGCGGACACTATATTTGTGTGCGTGTGCATGCTTTGTACGGCGGATGTATGTGCTGTTGGGGAAGATGGAAGTGAGGACGTCGGCTTCCTTGTGCAGAGACGAGTTGATGCTGGTTGTGACGAGAATCTTGGGTTCTTCATCGCTGGGATTGAATATGGAAGGGAACTTTTGCTTTAGAAACTCGGGTGATAGATCAAAGTTGGTGGTGGTGGAGGTTGCGGTGGGGCTGGCTGCGCGCTTGGAGGACTTGGAGGACTTGGAGGGCTTCGAGGAGGCGGCATCTGAGTTGAGGTCTGAATCGTCCGAGTCGAGGTCTGATTGGGAGTCGTCGAGCATGCTGTCTGCCCCGTCCGAATTGGAGTCTTCTTCTTCGTTTTCTTCACTATCGTTCATCGCCTCGTCCCGCTTCTTCAGCTTGGCCAGTGTGCCTTCCTCGTTGCCCTCTTCATCCTCATGCTCGACTTTTCTCCGCTTGGCTAACCGCTCTACGTCAATGGCCCAGCCCAGAGCATCCTCCTCGTCACCCACAGGCTCATCCCACACGCGCTTGCTGTCAATGGTGGCGGGCTTGTTGTTTGCCAGTCGCTGTTCACGTAGCTCGGGGTTCTTGTCTTCCTCGCGCTTGCGGCGCATTCGGGCATCTCGCTTCTCCGACTCGCGCGCCTTCTTGATGGACAGATGGGCGGCCTGGCGGCGAATCTTATTCTTGGGCTTGAAGCCGGACGCGACATTTTTGGGGGCCGTCATTGTGCTCGCGGTAGTGGTGGTAGTGGTGAAGGTCGTCGCCGTCGATTGCAGTAGGCGAGCCTGACAACTTTTCAGTGGGGCGGCGGCCGAAGCGTCTTTTCCGCAATCTTGGCGCGTCACCCACCGAGCCCACGCATCATGATTTGCACGTGCGGGCAACTCGACCAAAAAGCCAATGCCCTATACTAGACGGCCTGTCCTCGCAGTAAGCCAATTCTCCTCGTGGAAGCAGGGGAGAGCCTGATAATATATGCGCCGGCTCCAGGCTTTGCTGCGCGTCCCCCGCTCTGCATGGCGACCGTCTCTCCAGACAACTACTAGACGGGTACCTTGTGCCCCACCTCCGACTCATCCCACCACGCACTTCTCGACCACTCCACCCCTCTTCCGGTACAAGATTCCACAGCGCAAGACGCCCGCCATGCCGAGTGATACCACCACCTACAAGGGCAAGCCCTTTGAGCGCGCTGCCTTTGAGCAGCTCATGAAGGTAGGCATGCATTACTACTGCCCCCGACCCTATCTGCACACTGCCTACTCACATGGCACCAACTGTAGCACAAATACTTCTACGCGCCCTCTTTCGACATCTACGGTGGCGTTGCTGGTCTGTACGACTATGGCCCACCCGGCTCTGCCCTCACCGACAACATTGTCGACATATGGCGCGAACACTTTGTGCTCGAGGAGGACATGCTCAAGGTCGAACCTACCATCCTTACCACACACGATGTCCTCAAGACCTCGGGCCACGTCGACAAGTTTGCCGACTGGATGTGCAAAGACCCAAAGACGGGCGAGATCTTCCGCGCCGACCACTTGGTCGAGGAGGTGCTCGAGGCCAGGCTAAAGGGCGACAAAGAGGCGCGTGGCCAAAAGGTCGAAGTCGAGGAGGAGGATCCCAAGAAGAAAAAGAAGAAGGTCAAGAACATTGCAGCCATCAAGCTCGAGGACTCAATGGTCAAGGAGATTGAGGAGGTCCTGGCAAAGATTGACAACTACAACGGCGAGGAGTTGGGTCTTCTCATGAAGAAGTACGACATCCGGAACCCTGCCAACAATGGCGAGCTCCTGCCTCCCGTCGCCTTCAACCTCATGTTCCAGACTTCTATCGGTCCCTCGTCGAACCTGCCCGCCTATCTACGACCAGAGACTGCCCAGGGCCAGTTTGTAAACTTCCAGAAGCTGCTAGACCACAACATGCAGCAGATGCCTTTTGCGTCTGCCTCCATTGGCAAGTCTTTCCGTAACGAGATTTCGCCTCGCCAGGGTCTCCTGCGTGTGCGAGAATTCCTCATGGCTGAAATTGAGCATTTTGTCGATCCAGAGGGAGGCAAGAAGCACCCACGATTCAATGAGGTCAAGGATGTGGAACTTGAACTGCTCAACCGCGACGTCCAGCTTGCTGGCAAGACCACTGTCGAGACCACAAAGATTGGCAAGGCAGTTGAGACTGGTCTGGTTGATAACGAGACGCTGGGTTACTTCCTGGCTCGCATCCAGCTCTTCCTTCTCAAGATTGGTGTTGATCCCAAGAAGATCCGCTTCAGGCAACACATGGCCAACGAGATGGCTCATTACGCAGCCGACTGCTGGGACGCCGAATTGCTAACATCTTACGGCTGGATCGAGTGCGTTGGCTGTGCTGACCGAAGCGCATACGACCTGTCTGTGCATATGAAGAAGACCGGTGCGCCCCTGATTGTCCGTGAGACAAGAAAGGAGCCGCTCAAGGTCGAGGAGTGGCAATGCGACATTGACAAGAAGAAGTTTGGCCCCAAGTTTAAGAAGGACGGAAAGGCTGTCGAAACAGCCATTGAGTCCTTATCGCAAGATCTGCGCGAGAAGCTGTCTCTGGACTTGGAGAAGGAGGACAAGATTGTCATCGATGTCCCTGAAGTTGCCGACGGCAAGGTCGAGGTGCCCAAGGAGCTCATCACAATTGAGAAGCGCACTCGGGTCGAGACGATGCGAGAATATACGCCAAACGTCATTGAGCCGTCATTTGGTATTGGCCGTATCTTCTATGTAAGTACTCCCATTGTGGAATGGTGGTATGCCTGGCTGACCGAATCAGGCTCTATGTGAACACGTCTACTGGACCCGCGAGCAGGACGAAGCCCGTGCTGTCCTCTCATTCCCTCCTGCAGTTGCACCGACAAAGGTGCTCATTGTGCCGCTCAGCTCAAACCCAGACTTTGATCCTTTCGTAAAGACACTGAAGGACAAACTTCGGAAGCTTGGCATTTCCAACCGAGTTGACGCGTCCGGTGCATCAATTGGCAAGCGCTATGCAGTAGGTCATGCCCCTCTGGTGAACATGTGATTGGGCTCTGACAGTGGTCTAGCGAAACGATGAGCTTGGTACCCCACTTGGCATCACCGTTGACTTCCAGTCAATCAAGGACAACACTTTCACCCTTCGAGACCGTGACACAACTGAGCAGGTTCGCTCGAGTCTAGACGACATTGCCCAAGCCATTTCCAACATCGTAAAGGGCGAGGAGACATGGTCAGATGTTGCCAAGCGCCTGCCCAAGTTTGAGGGCCAGGAGGTAGACTGAGGGCTGTGTTGAACCAATATTAGTAGTGATTCGCTTCATAAAAGTACGGATTGCTTTCTCGTCTGCATGCATGGAAAGCCGAACGCTGAAGCCAAGGGGTAACTCTTTGGGTGAAGGAAAGAAACAAAAAGAGGCAATAAATCGTGTCGCATCCATGTAGATGATATGATGCCTTGGCTGGGACGAATGCAGTGGACTGGTTGTGCTGTCAGGCTCTTGTTGTCCCACGTAATGTGATTGTGTGAACAACCCAGTCCCTTTGTTTTCCCTCTAATCCAATCTGGCAAAAAAAGAGGTCAAAAGAGGTCACCCACGTTCATACGTGTCCCGCAGCCCGGGGTTGCGGGCTTGTGTTGGTCCGGTTGGGGGATGGAGAGTGGACGATTACCACGTCCGATGCAGCCTTCCCAGGATAAAGCCCGCGCCGCTACGAGTCAGGCCGCGGGAACTTGAACTCTCCAAGTGAAATAAAGGGAGCGGGAAATATGAAGTGGCTTTGTGGTCGTAGAAGGTAGCTGCTGAAAGCGGAATCTCGGCAGGCTTCCCCAGACAGAATGCATATGCGGCGGGTAGGTTTGCGACCAGACACCGACATGTACATACGTACTACGTACGTAGGTGGAATGAAGGGCTTCTCGCGCTCTTCCGGGGGTTTGGTCCAGTGCATGCAGGTGTTAAACTAGCCTCGAGACCCCGAGGGATGGGTAGGGCAGCTGAGAGGGACCGAAGACGGTCCGGTGCAAAGTGCTAGCAGGCTGGGGTTGATGCAGCCGCCCTGGACCTCTTGGGCATGATGCATTGAGGCACTATGCTTCCGTGTAGTGTACATGGTATATGTACAAACGTGGGGCCATGTGCGCCTCAGGCCATGGCATGATGGAGCTCACACTGCCACGTAACGTCGCAATGGCCGTGGCCGGGTGCTTGTGCTCTCTCCTCGGAACACAAGGTGAGTGTGGTGGACATGTCGGCTTGGCTGGCTCGCTGACAGATGGTCGGCAGCGTACATGGAGATGGGGCTCAGAGGGCGGGAATTTGTCACGGAGGTGGTCAGACGGAGATGATCAGCAAAGCATGTCGGCATCCACATGGAAGAGAGGGAGGGCAGAGGACGTGGAGCTTGTTGCCAGTCGCGGGCATGGATCCACGCTTCAAGTCTAGTACCTTCTGCAAGGCCCATATGTATACCCAGGCTGGATGCGCGCGCCCCCAACCAGCATCAAGCGACCATCGCTTAGCAGACGCAGCGTCGAGCTCTTGCACCAGCCTCTTTGGAAGGGATCCATTGGCAGCGCGTACGTAAAGACGTCGCGGGCGCCCTCGCTCAACCTCACCATCCTCCTCCGCTGGACTTGCCCAACGAGACCCGTCCGGCCCCTCTGCAGCCTGTCGGCTTTCCGGCGCCATGGACGAGGGACCGCCACCACCCGAAGACGTGGTTGCCCCTCACGCAGGGCCTCCACTCAAACACCCAAGAGCTGACTCGGACGATTCCGCGTCCATTGAGTCCATGTATGCCGCTGCTTCTCCTCTGTTCCTCTCGTATCGCTGCATCCTTTGCTGGCCCCAAGGCGCTGCGTTGCCAACTGCCCGCATTCGACAGGGGTTGCAGCCTGCTGACGGCTAGCCTGCTGCCCAACGCTTCCTCCTCCATCGCCACCTATCCTGCATGAACCACGGCTGACAGTCGCTGCGATAGTCGCTCTGTTCGCACACTTGCCTCTGACGACCTCGACTATGTCCATGAAAATGGCCGCACATACGCCAATGAGTCGTATTATCTGCCCTGCGTCTACAAGCCCAACAACGATTTTGTGGAGCAGGATCGCTTATCCTTGCAACACGAGATATTCGTGCGCGCTCTCAAGGGAAAGTTGACAACCACAAAACTGCTACCCTCTACGCGTAGAATCCTCGATCTTGGCACGGGACCAGGCCACTGGGCCGTGTCCATGGCACAGCAATATCCCCGTGCAGAAGTCGTTGGACTAGACATTACCGAATGGGACATTGAAACCACCGAAGCCACGCTAGGCGAATCTGGAGTCACTTGGGAACTCGATGATCTCGACGTTTGGGGGCGAGAAATCGACGTCGACGATCTGATTGCCAAACTTGCCGAGCTCGACTTGGCAACCAACATGATTCACCGCGATCCAATCGAGTCTCCGAGAAAAATGCACCACGACACTGGATTAAGCGATGCCACAAGTCCGTCAAATCTATCCCAAGAATCCCTCACAATAGACTTGACTTCCTTGACTCCTCAATTGGAACCGGGTTGGCACTTCAGCGATAAATTCGAGCTGATCCACCTGCGAAATATGAAAGGAACTTTTACCCGCTGGGAAGGCGTCTACGAAGAGATATACAAGAGTCTCTCGCCTGGTGGATGGGTCGAGTTGGCAGACTGGGACTTGGGCCAAGTACCCCTTGGCCCCAGCGACAAGATTGCAATGCCCACCTTGCGCAAGTTGTACGTCGCTTTTATGGAAGCATCTTTCCGATCTGGACGGCCCCTGGGTCTTTTCTACATGCATCACAGTTATCTTGAAGAAGCGGGATTCGTGGATATACAAACAACTCATGTCAATGTGCCCGTAGGGCAGTGGGCAGAAGACGAGGCACAGAAATCCCTAGGCAAGATGATGTTTGTACTTGGCATGGAAATTTTCGAGCCTGTTTGCTTGCGTCTCCTGACACGGTGGGGCAGTAAGAACAAAGTGTGGACTGAAGATGAGTTGAGGGCGGATGTGCGGTTGGCACAGCAGGAGATTAAAGATTATGTTGAGCGTTCAGAGCGCGGCGAGGTAGAAGGCTGGTGTGCGAGTTTCAAGTGGATTACTGCGAGAAAGAGTTGGCATGCTGATAGGTGAGAGTTGCTGTTGGTATCTTGGATAAATGGGAGGAAACTTTTTCTTATGCATCATTGGGCAACGCGCGGGCGGCATTAGTCGAGTTTATTTTCGTTGGCTTGCATGTGTGTCACTGAGCCGGAAGGTGGAGCCGTAGCATAGACATATAACGATGACGACTAGCCATATCATCTACCCTTATTGCATTCACAACCAGATCTGAGCTCCACACCAAAAAAAATGTCCATAGAACTCTCGGCAACTGCGCTCTTCAATGTCAAAGGCATTGTTGCCGTCATAACAGGAGGCGGGTCAGGTAGTCCGCGCTTGACTAACATGGCTGGGCTCAGCGCTGAGTTCCACAGGTATCGGTCTGATGATGACAAAAGCGCTGGCTGCAAACGGCGCACACCGAATCTACATAGTCGGCCGCCGAGAAGATGTTTTGCGCGACGCCGCCAATAGCATCGACCCAAACGTCGTCATACCATTATCTGGAGACATAACCTCTCAAGACTCACTGCTCGGAATCGCCGCGAGAATTGAATCCGAAATAGGCTATGTAAACCTCGTCATTGCAAATGCAGGCATCATGGGTCCAAGGCCCCTCAAAGCCGCACCAGGCAACCCTCTGCCCACAATCAGCGAGTACCGAGCACACGCCCTTCAGAGCCCTATGCAAGATTTCACACAAACCTACGCTGTAAATGTAACAGGCGTATACTACACCGCCCTAGCTTTTCTCACCCTCCTTGACGCCGGCAATACAAAAGGCAACTTCTGTACCGGCGTGCGCTCCCAAATCATTGCCGTCTCCAGCATCGGCGGCTTCTCTCGTCTTTCAGGCGCCTCATTCGCATACAATAGCAGCAAAGCTGCAGTCACACACATGATGAAGATGCTAGCTACATCGCTAGCCCCCTATCGCATTCGCTGTAACGTGCTGGCTCCCGGCATCTTTCCGTCTGACATGACGACAGGGATTATTGGGGGGTTAAATCCGCTGCAGAGCGAAACGCTGGATAAGAACGTTATTCCTGCAGAGAGGACGGGTTGCGAGCAGGATATTGCGGGGGCGGTGCTGTGGATGGCGGGGTTGGCAGGGGCGTATTTGAATGGGAGTGTGGTTGTGGTAGATGGGGGGAGATTGGGGATGTTGACGTCTACTTATTAAGACATGTTTCTTTTATTTCTCTTCCAAACATTAGCTTGAATTGAAACTACAGATATGGAAAATAATAGTGAAATGAAAATCAAGAAGAGTGATGACATTACTACGTGTCCCCCCATCCCATGTTCGAAAAGACGATCCCGCGCGCTAACTCTGTACTAGCGGCAGCGGCCCGTGCCATGCCTGCCGTTTGCGGAGTTGAAGCCACACCTCCGAAAGCCCGCCACGACTACTCGACTTGTTTTCTCTATTCGATGCGCCCATGCTCGTTCGCCCACGCCAAACATGCCTGCACAACCGCACAGGCTCAATTCCAATGACCTGGTCAACTCGCCGGGATTTCTTGGGGCGGTAGCCCGCTTCTGGCAGGTGTGTGTTTGTGTGCGCTGCCTTGCACATGTTTACAATAACTAATGAAGCCTCTTCGGCTACAAGTAGCGCTCGTATGCTTCGGATTATGTAGGCATAGCTCTTCTATTGTGCGGCTATATTCCGGTACGTCACGCAAGAAGAAAGAAAAGACTTGAGATATACTGTAGAGAAAAGAATTCACACTCAACGTACAGATCCAATTCCTCGGCGAGCCCTTCCACCGCATGTTCTTCCTCGATAACCTCGCCATTGGATATCCCCATGCCGAAATCGAGCGCGTATCAGTCGGCTGGCTACTCATCTTCGCTGGCGCCGTTCCCCTCGGCCTCCTGGTCGCATGGGCCCTTCTCTTCCGCCCGGGCTCCCACAAAGCCCACGTCACCATCCTCGGGCTAATCATCAGCCTGATCCTCACCAGCTTCATCACCGACGTGATCAAAAATGCCGTCGGCCGCCCCCGCCCCGACCTCATCGCACGCTGCAAACCCGCGCCCGGCACGCCCGCCCACCAGCTCGTCACATACAAAGTCTGCACCGAGACAGACCACCACATCCTGCACGACGGCTGGCGCAGCTTCCCCAGCGGCCACAGCAGCTTCGCCTTCAGCGGCCTCGGCTACCTCTCCCTCTTCCTCGCTGGACAATGCCACGTCTACCGCCCCCGCGCTGACCTCGCTCGCGTCCTCTTCGCTCTCGCCCCCTTACTCGGCGCCGCCCTCATCGCTATCTCCCGCTGCGAAGACTACAGGCATGACGTCTACGACGTCACCGTTGGGTCACTGCTTGGCCTCGCTATCGCGCATTATACGTACAGGAGGTATTATCCTGCACTTAGAAATCGGCTCTGCGCGACGCCGTTTCCCAATCCGGCGGATGACAAGGGGTGGGGGAAGGTGAAGGGGGATGAGGAGAGTGCGAGAGGCGTGCAGGAGTTTGAGCTCAGTGAATTCGAGGAAGAGGAGGCGGAGAGTGAGGCTAGGTTGCTTAACGGGGGGAGGAGATAGGTATGTGGGGGGAGATGCTTTGGGAGGTTTATGTTTTTTTTACGCTGGATTAATGGGGCAATTTCTGGTTCTGAGTGTCCAGGGGGGTATCTTTTTTTGCTTAAAAACTTTGGTCGCTGGAACCAGTGACTGCAATGTATCAAATGGGGGGTTTTTTTTAGCGTACTTGTGTTGCTATTATTATTATTATTATTATTATTATTGA